TTTTTTGAGAGTTTTTCTATATTTCTAAATTACTGAGGCTGGGCTGGACCTTAAGATCTTCCTGCCTCAGCCTCATACATTATAAGCATTAGCACATAGTTCCACTCCCAGCTTCAAGTTTTCTTTTTATGGGTTGCATGGTTAGGATCAAATCTAAGAATTCTATATATAACTATACATCCTGCCCATTTTTTTCTGGAAGTTTTATAATTTTTCATTTAAGTTTATGGTCCATTTGGAATTAATTTTTATATTGGGGTAAAGCTTAGATCAAAGTTTATTTTTTGGCCCAGAGCTACTTGTGGTATACTTGTTGAGGCTCTGCTCATGTGTGAGGTTGGTGTTTCCTTGGTATCACCTGTTCTTGTCTTGCTTATCATCATCCAGAAATATATCTATTTCTCATTTATGCGAAAAGAATCGTGAAGATGAGAGGTGCATGGGCTGGAGACAGCCTTCCTAAAATTAGAAACTGGTTCTGCTACTTAACAAATTAAGTAAATGTAGTGACTGAAGACATTGACTGTCTGTGAGTCTGCAGTGCTGTGCGTTGGCACCTTGGACTGGGCTCACAGTGGCGCTGTGTCTCTGTCAGCTCTGGGCTGGCTCAGGGAGCTGGGGCCCCCGCAGCGCAGGGACAGCGTCTCTTCTGTGGTCCCCCTCCTTCGGTCAGGCCATTTAGGGCCTCTCTGCAGGGTGCTCGTGGGCTCCTGAGAACAGCAGGCAGGTTGGTTGCAAGGCCTCGCAAGGGTGGAGCGCAGAGTTCAGGGTGTTCCTCATGCTTTTCTGGCCACGACACATCCCAAGGCCAGCCCACACTGGGATTGGGAAAGTGAACTTCGCTGTGACGGGAGACGCAGTGGCGTGTTGTGTCCGTGTTTTGTGATCTGCTAATGGTGACAAGTGACATGATTTCTTGGGCCTCGAGCTCCTTATTTATAAAATGGAGTTTGTGATAATAACTCATAAGGCTCAGCTAGTAAGAACTCTAAAAAGTGATGATGGAAGCGGCTAACACTTTTTTTTTTGGCGGAACCGGGTATTGAACTCAGATCCTTGTGTTTGCCAGTCAAGCTTTTATCCTACTGAGCCATCTCCCCGGCCCCCTAACACTTTCTTATGAAGCTGGCTGATGCCGAGTGCTCACTTTGCTTCTGTCCCTGTGTGTGCATAAGTGGTATACTACTCCGTAGCAGTTTTATGAACTAGGTAAGGCAGAAGCAAGTAAGCAGGGAGGTTGAGATTTTGATTTAATTAGTCTGGCTGTGTAGCCTAAGTCTGTCCTGTTTTACTGTCCCAGCCACTGCACTGCACCTGTACATCAGTCTTACACATTACTGCTTAGCACAGCTCTTAGTATGTAGTCCATGTTCACTCAGTATTTTCTTGTTGATACTGTTCTTTTTTTTATGTATCCAGGACAGGGTCTACAGGGTCTCAACGACACAGACCAGACTCGTAGTGATTCTCCTGTTTCAGCCTCCCAAGGGCTGGGATTGCAGCTGCACCACCACACCCAGTCTCAGTGGCCATCTCTGCCTGCCCCAGGAGTGGGCTGGTACGGCAGGCCGAGGATCGAACCCCAGCCTCTGCATCTGCCTCTGTACTCTGCCTAAGCAGGCGCTTTAGTCAGCTGAGCTGTCTGACTGGCCCTATATTGTTACTCTTTTAATCTCATTTACAGATGGAAGCATGTTCTGGTCTGTTCCTAAAATTTTAGATTATTTTAAACCAAGATTTTTCTGGAGTTCAGAGCCTTACGTGCACTAAAAATGGTGACTATAACAGCAGAAAAGAAGTGGGAAAGGCCAAGTTCACAGGTGTGCGGAGGGAAACTAGGTGGTGGACGACCAAGGAGGGAGGGGAGGCGCGTCAGGAAGCCTCCCCGAGCGAGGCCTGGAGGCCTTCTCCCTGGCTGATGACTGGAGGACGCAGTGAAGTAGTACAGGGCTTCTCACCCCTTGGCCTTTTGTCCGTGACACTGTTGAGGGATGTGAATATCGCAGCCCCCACCCACAACTTAGCACGTGTATGGGTACACATGTGCACCTCAGTGTCACCCCGGGCCTGCTAGGGAAACAGATCGTCAGGGCTGAGGGCCTAAACGTTACTTAGAAAAGGTGATTCATCCAGAAGCTGTGGAGCTTCCTAACTGACCAAGGCCTTCTTCTCAGGGAAGCGCTTATCCCACTGAGCCGTCTCTCCGGCCCTGAAGGCCTTCTTCTCAGTGCCGATCTTAAACAATGTCCCGCCTGTCCATCCGAGAGGATAAACTGCCGTTGTTCAGCAGACAACCCGAAATGCCTGTGTCCCGGGAAGCTCCCTGATGCTGGGGTGCCCTGGACGTGGTGTTCATCTGCTTGAAATCTTGCTGATGTTGACCTGGTCTCGAATCCTCTAAGCTTTACCCTGCTGTGACTCAGTTGCCTGCAGCCACAGTGACATGTCTCTGCCTGGGACTTGGCTGTGCCAGTACAGACGGTGGGCTTTAGTCAGCATCGTCCTTGGTGATGCCCGTCTGCTGTGCCACCCTGCTTTAGAGCCAGCTAGAAGTTGAGATCTTAAATAAACACTCTTCCCTTTAACTTTGGGTGTCAGGTATTTTGTTTCCAGTAAGTAAGACAAAAGGTCAGTTCTTTCTTGTGACTCCAGAAACCTGAAACATAGTAGCTTAGAACAGTAGTTACTTCAGGGGGGTAAGAAAGGACTGTACTGTCCCTGAGGAGGAACCCCGGTGAGCTGGATCAGGAGAAGGAGCTCTGCTTCAGCGCAGAGAGGGAGGAGAGATAGGAGAGATGGTTCCGTTATGGCCAGGGTGGAAGAGGCAGAGAAGCTGAGCAATGTGTAGCTAGGAAAGGAGCTGGTAACAGCTAGCTCAGACGAAGGGAGTTACGCGCAGCAGCGGGCGGAGAGTTGCTCTTATCCCAGCGCTTCCAGAGCGGTGCTGCCGGGCCAGCAGAGCTGGGCTCCGTGTTCCGTTTCAGTTTGTGTTTCCTTGTGGTCCGGCAGCGGCAGACAGAAGCACCGAAAGTCAGAAACGCCCAGGATTTGGAGGCAGATTTATTAATTTAATGTCAGGGGGACGCTGACAAGGAATCAGTTATCCTTCGAAATGGCAGGCCCTGGAGGCCCAGCACAGGAAGCTTTTGTGAGGTCTACAAGGGAAGTACGAGAGCGGAGAACTTGGCTGTCTTTGACTGGTTCTCGCAATATGCATTATAGTGACCAGCCATTACACAGGGACTGCAGCGAGAACTATTGCCTGGGCAGCTGGCAGACGGATGCGTCCTTGCTGGGGGTGGGGGGACGTTTTCTGGTACGGTCCAAAGTGGATATTTGCGCTTCAGCCTTATATTCCAAGAGGTAGGATAGATGAAGGAAAGATGAAAATACTTATCCTCTTTTAAGGAAGTCCCTTAAACATTGACACACACACATCTTGTTAGAATTTAAGTCACCTGCTCACGCATAGCTGAGCGAGAAAAGTTGGGGATGCAGCGGCATGCCAGGGATCTGTTCATTTGTGAGAAAGGTCTTCGGCAAGCTGTTGGTAGTCCCTGAGCTGCCGAGGAGCGGTGGAGTTCCGTGCTTACGTTTTACTCTTTTATCCCAGGCTTTATGCGGATGTCTTTGAAGGTTTTAAGTATGTTTTTCCTCCTTATAAATCTCCATAAAGTTACAGGAAAAATAATCAGAACAGGGTTACTTGGGTACAAATACCCAAAGGGGTGGAACATATCTGACTCCAATATTATTTTCCCTTTAAAAAGCCTGCCTTCTGGCTTCTTTTGTCATTGTTACAGGCATCTATCTGTATTCATGCTGTTGTGTCAGAAAAATTATAGGTGAACTAATTATTTGGGGGTAGTAAGGAAAAGTAAGTAGAGCTCAAGACATATGTCTATGTGCCAACTGCCCACGATGAATGTAAACATTATATACTGCAAACATCACTAGCAAAAATTCAAATTTTAAAAATTAATTTTTAAGTTATGCATACCAGTTATTCTTTAATATTTTTGGTAATTAGATTTTCCCTCTTTTTATAGCAGTACAATTTCTTTATTTTTATTTTTTTCATTTTGTTTTGTTACAATTTCTTTAAAAGCTTACATTGTTCTGATTATGAAAACAATGTAATTACTGCATAAATTTGGAAAATACAGAAAACAAAAAGAATAAATAAAATCACCTGTGATCCCATCAAGAAATGTTAATATTTTGTTTCAGTATTAATAAATGTTATTAATTAAAATTATTCAATGTTAATAAATGTTAGTATCTTCTTCAATACATTTAGACATACATAGGAAACTAACATGAGCATTTTCCTGTTCATAAAAATTCTAATGCTAATCTTCCTCTTTTCTGGACATTTGCTCTGCTTCTGATTTTTTCTTTCGAAACATTCCCATAAACAACTTCTTGATAAATCTCTTCCCTGTCTCTGACTTACTCCTTAGGATAGACTTCTGAACACGGAATGCTGTACCAGAAGACTGAGCATAGGGTTTTGATACTTTTCACGAGCAAGTCTTCAGGAAAGGTTTCTCTCATCCTCGCGGGAGTGTTCGAGTGTGCATGCGGCCTGTGCATGCACTGCCAGGATAAGAAAGTGCTGTGGCTCTGATAATACTGGATTTCACTCATTTAAGAATGGTGACGCTGGCCAGGGAGATAACTCAGTGGGATAAGTGCTTGCCTGGCAAGTGCAAGGTCCTGAGTTCAATCTCTTGTACCCAAAAAAAAAAAAAAAAAAAAATGGTGACGCTGCCTATAATCCCAGCACTAAAGAGGCTGAGACAGGAGTATTGCTGTGAGTTTGTAGCCAGCCTGGGCTACGTAGTGAGCTCAAGGCTAATCTGTACATGGCAAAACCCTAAGTCAAAAAAAAAAAAAAGTGATAGAGCTATTTTGGGAGGCCTGGATTGATTAATATTATGCATGTATCTTTTCACTGAGAAATTATGTTGTATCTTTTTTGAATTTGATTTTGGGAGCTATAGGTCGTGGCCAGCATCCAGCCATCAGACATGCTCGTTCTTGGAGCAACATCCCCTTTATCACGGTACCCCTCAGTCGTACCCATGGCAAGTCCTTTGCCCACCGCAGTGAGCTGAAGCACGCCAAGAGAATCGTGGTGAAACTTGGCAGTGCCGTGGTGACCCGAGGGGATGAGTGCGGCCTCGCCCTGGGGCGCCTGGCGTCCATTGTGGAGCAGGTAGGTGCCGAGGTGGAGAATTTTACTGAGCTGAAGTAGTGGCTTTTTAAATCTTTTATGTATGTATGTATGTATGTATGCTTTGGTGCAGGGTGTCACTACACAGCTTGGACTCCTGTCTCAGCATCCCCAGTGCTGAGATTACGGGAGTGTGCCACCGTGCTTGGTTTCTGTGGCCATCACAGCTTCCAGGGCCAGCACAGCACATGGTCCCAAGGATGGAACGTGGGTCCTTGCGCTTGCCAGGCTGGCACTTAGACTGCCAAGGGCCTGGGGAGATCGCCCAGCAGGATAAGTGCTTGCCTGGCAAGTGCAGCGGCCTGAGTGTAATCACCAGTACTGAAAAGGAAAAAAAAAAGAGACTGCCAAGCCATCTCCCCAGCCCTGCAATAGAGGCTTTAGGTTGTTGGCTCCACTGTATCAACTTGTGAAAGTCCTCATGTGTGAACACTTTCTGTGTGCAGACACCAGTGGGAAGCAGTGCAGCACAGCCAGCAGAGGGACGAAAGAATGCAGTAGACGCACGTAGCGTAGTCCTGCTGCCTCTCCGTGATAAGGAGCTGTGTGTGTCTGTTTTTGTTTTTGGGTTTTTTTTCCTCCATGTGTATGGTCTCATCTCGCTGTATAGGTGAGACTCGTCGTTATGCTTCCGTTTTCAGCCTCCCAAGAGCTGGGATTACAGGCTCACACCACCACGCCCAGTCATCGCTGTCTCAGCGCACCCCAGGGCCGGGTTGGCACGGCATACTGGGGATCGAACCCCAGCTGCCGCACTCTGCCTAAGTAGGCGCTTTAGTCTACTGAGCTATTTGGCCAGCCCTAGTCTGAGTCTTAATTCTGGCTGTGAGTTACAGTCACCTGAGCCTGGAGGTGCGTAGGCTGTCTGCCCAGCCATCTGATAAGTATCTCAGGGATGTGGCTCAGGCGTCTATTTTTAAGTTCCCTGGGTAAGTAACTCTGGATGGATGGATGGATGGATGGATGGATGGATGGATGGATGTAAATACTGAGCTTTTCTTTTCTTTTTTTCTGCTTTGGTGGTGTTTGAGTCTAGCCACTCATTCATATATCCCAGGCAATCTAGCTGTAACACACTTCTGTCCTCCATAATCGTGTTTCCAATTTTTAAAAACACTGTTAGGGGGCCAGGGAGATAGCTCAGTGGAATAAGTGCTTGCCTGGCAAGTGCACAGTCCTCAGTTTGATCCCTGGTACCACCAAAAAACTCAAACCACACTTTTACTCCAGAGTTGCTGCTTTCCTGAAACCTAATAGAATCTTCATGTTTTCTGTGTTAGGCAGGTATCAAATCTGCCTCCCACGTGAAGTCTGCGAAATCAATTCTGCTTAACCAGTGTGTATCAGGGAGCATCTTGGTTGATTTTGTGCTGTTACAGCAATACCACAGACTAGGTAGTTTATGATAAAAATTGATGTAGCTGATAGCTCTTACGCTGGGAGACGTAAGTTGAAGGGTTCGTGTGTGATGAGGCCTTGTTATTGCACCATCCCGTAGTGGAAGGATGAAGAGGAGGAGAGCACACAGCCTCAAGCCTGTTACCATGGGCACTAACCCGTGCGTGGTGGAGCCGTGCTCCGGACCTGAGCCCTCCCATCGGACCCAGCTTTCAGCACTTACGTTCCAGCATAGGCTTTTGGGGAGCACATTCAAATCGTAGTAAGGAGCTAGAACGTGAGGGGCGTAACAGCTCTCTCATCTCTGCCCTTGGGAGTCAGTCTTGAGACTCCCCAAACAAGTCAAGGCAGTAAATATCTAAATAAGTGACCCAAATGACAGAGTCAGATGGGCGCAGAAATGGGAGAGTCTGCCAGAATCTCTTGTGAGGAGAGTGTAGACAGTACAGTGATTTGTGGTACCTTTTCCCTGCTTCACGCCAGGTATCAGTGCTACAGAATCAGGGCCGAGAGATGATGTTGGTGACCAGTGGAGCTGTAGCCTTTGGCAAGCAACGATTGCGCCACGAGATCCTTCTGTCTCAAAGCGTGCGGCAGGCCCTGCACTCAGGGCAGAACCAGCTGAAAGAGATGGTGAGTCCGTTTCCCCCACCCTGTGACGGGGATTCTTGGGTTTTGCTTTCCCTCGTTCCCAACTCTACCTTGTCTGATTGATACGTTCTAGGCAATTCCAGTCCTCGAGGCGCGAGCCTGTGCAGCTGCCGGACAGAGTGGGCTGATGGCCTTGTACGAGGCCATGTTTACCCAGTACAGCATCTGTGCTGCCCAGGTGAGAGCTTGGGCTTTGGGACCTACGAGGGACGTTGTGCTGGGGCAGGTGGCTTGTGCGCAGGGCCCAGGTGCCGGGGCCAGGGTACGGTCTGGCTCACTGCTTCCTACTTAGGAGAGCTGAAGAAAGTCTTTAAGTCTGTACTTGAGTTTCCTCGTTTGAAAAATACTATCTGTGCTGCGTAAGAGTTTTAGAAGGGCTCAGTGAGAAAATCTATGACGAGTATTTAGGAGCATATAATCAAAACTGTATTGGGCTGGTGAGATGGCTCAGTGGTCTAAAGCACCTACTTAGAACAAGCTTAGCAAAGCACAGGGACCGCAGTTCAATCCCCCAGCACCACATGCCAGCCAGCCGCGCCCCCTGGTGGGCTGAGCTGGACACACACACACACACACACACACACACACACACACATAAATAAATAAAAATTTTTAAAAAAAAATTTAAAAAAAAACAAACTGTATTACAGGAAAGACACACTGCCATTGATCTTCCTCACGTCTCCTCTTGCCCTCAGCACTTGTCCCGTCACTCTTGCCACTTTCTGAAGCGATTCTGGAACTCTCTTTTGTGAGTGTTATTTTCAAAGTGTGCTCAAAATATGATAAATGTTGCTACCAGGCGCCATCAGACGGAAAGATATGTTCACAGCAGCACCGTGCGTCCTAATCCACCCTTCTCGCCACGTCTGCCACCAGGAGGCTCCAGGTTTCTCCCCAAAGTTAAAATGGCCATAGAGGGACTTCAGGACATCAGGACAGCAACAGCGGCACACAGAGCCCTGAGGAGGAGGGAGGGCCTGCAGAAGGGCTTCAGCAGGTGGAAGAACAGCGCGAGGGAGTGCTTTCGGGGGGTTGGTGCGGTGTGTCTTTGTGATAAGTGTGTCTTTGTGATAAAGTTGTAACAAAGTTTAGACATTAGCCATGCATGATGCTGCATTCCTGTAATCCCAGCTGAGGCAGAGAGGTTAAGAGTTCAGGGCCAGCCTGGGCTGCCTGAGTTCAACGTGAGCTTGGAATGTGGTGAGACCCTTAGGAAGAAGTAAGAAGTGAACAGTATTTCGGTCATGGGCTTTGTATGTGCCACAGGTTCTGTAATTCAGCTCTTGGCCGGCAGGCACCTAGGCTGCTTTCCTGCCCTTGCTGCTGTGAACTGTGCCACAGTAAACGTGCATGCCAGTGTCTCTCGTGTGCTGCCCTTCTTTTGGGCATGTGCCAAGGACTGGTAGAACTGAATCATCTATATGCTAGTTCTATATGTAGTTTTTTGAGAAACCTCCATGCTTATTTCCATAGTGTCCGTATTGAATTATATTCCCACCAACTGTGTTAAGAAGGTCTTTTTTCTTATATCTTCACCTGTATTTACTGCTTTTAATGTTCTTTTATTAAAAATCATTTATTTACTTACTTGGTACAAGGTCTTGCTGAACAGCTTGAACTAGTAATGGTCCTCCTGTCTTAGCCTCCCTAGCACTGGGATTACAGGCATGTGCCCACATGGCATGTGGTACAGGGGATCAAACCTGGGTCCTTGCACTGCCAGGCAGGCACTTAGACCACTGAGCTATCTCCCCAGCCCGGTTTTTAATATTCTTGAGGATAACCATTCTGATTGGAGTGAAGTGGAATCTTGATAATGTTTTATTTTCTGATGACTGAAAATAATTGAACATTTTCTGTATCTCTATTGTCCATTTCTGTTTCTTCTTTTGAGACTCATCTGTGCAATTTATTTATTTATTGGTTGACCCATTTGTTCTTTTGGAGTTTTTTGAATTCCTTATGTGTTCTGGGTATTGATTCTCTGTCAGTAGCGAGCACGGGATTTTTCTCATTCTGTAGACCTCTCTCTGTTGTTTTCTTTGCTGATGCAACGTCATTATTCACTTCTTGCTATTGATTCGTGAACTGCCTATTGAGGAAGCCACCGCTGGTTTTGGTGTTTTCACGTGCTTTGCAGTTTCAGAGTGTTAGCCCTTCCAAGCTGATTTCTGTGCTGGGCAGGAGCTAGGGATCCACCTGCTCTTCTGGCTGTGCGCGCCCTGCTTTCCCGCACGGTTTGCTAAAGGCTGGCCTTTCTCCACTGTGTTTGGTGCCTTTTGTCAAGAGGCAGATGGCTGTGCCTACGTCAGTTTACTTTTGTGCCCTCTGTTTTATTCCGTTTGCCTGTGTGTGTCTGCTTTTATGGCAGTACTGTGTTGTTTCTGTCACTGTGGCTCTACGATATTTTGGAGCTGAATGTTGTGAGAACTCCAGCACCACTCTTTTAGCCCAGGATTGCCTTGGTTCTTCTGGGTCTTCTCTGTTTCCATGTGAATTTTATGGTTGTTATTTCAAATTCTGTAACTGTCATTGGTATTTTGATGTAGATTATATCAAATCTTTGAATCATTTTGGTAATATAGCCATTTAAACACCATTAGTTCTTCTGTGTGAGAGTCTCACCCACCTTCGTGTATCTTCAAACATTTTCTTCAGTGTTCTGTAATTTTCATTGTGTAGGTCTCTCACCTCCTTGATTAGGTTGATTCCTTGGTGTTTACTTTAAGATACTGTAAGTGAAATTGGTTTTCTCTGTTCCTTTTCGCTAAGTTCGTTAGTGATATGCAGAAAAGCTGTTGACTTTCAAATGTGTATTTTGCATCTTGCTACTTTGCTGAATGGATATAAATGTCTCTTGGTGGAGTCGTTAGAGTTTCCCAAGTATGGGATATATACTGTTACCTGCATATAAGATAACATTTTATTTCTTCCTTTTTTTATTTTATGTATTTAGTACAGGGTCTCACTACACAGATCGGACTTATAGTGATCCTCCTGTTTTCAGCCTCCCAAGCTCTGGGATTACAGGTGTATGCCACCACGCCCAGTCTTGGTGGCTGGCTCAGCTCAGTATTTGGTGCCAGGGATTGAACTCCGGTGCTTGCCTAAACAGGCACTTAGTCCACTGAGTTCTCTCACTGGCTCTTATAACTTTAGTGTTGTTGTGGACGATCTGTTTAAATTTCTAATATCCTTTCAGTTCAGTTTTAGTAGGTTATATATGTTGAGAAATTATCCATTTTTCTAGATTTTTCAATTATTATATAGGTTTTCAAAATAGTCTCTAATGAGCCTCTGTGTTTCTTGATGTTGTAATATGCCATTTTTTGTGTGTGTCTAATTTTATTAATTTGGGTAAGTTTTGGGTTAGTTTATGAATGTTTATCTTATCACAGAACCAGCTCTTTGTTTCCATGGTCTTTGGTTTGGGTTTTTTAGTCTTTGTTTCATTAATTTCAGCCTTGATCTTTATACTTCTTTCCTTTTCTTGGGTGTAAGTATGGGTTTGATTTGTTTGTGTTTTTACTAAAACCTTGAGATGTATCATTAGGTTGATTGAGAACACACTGATTTTTTTTTTTTTTAATCTAGGCATTCACTGCTGTATTCCACAGATTCTAATATGTTGTCTTTCCATTTTTATTTGATTCTAGAAATTTTTAAATTTAGTCTTTCAACAATCCATGTATTATTCAAAAGTGAGTTGTGTAATTGTCATGTGTTTCTGTAGTTTCTGTAGTTTCTCTTGCTGTTGATTTCTAGCTTTGTTCCATTGTGACCTTAATTATTTCAGGGTTTTTGTGCCTTAAAGATTTGCTTTGTGCCTTAAAATGTGATTTTTTTTTTAAATATGATCTACTTTGGAAAAAGTTTCATGAACTGCTGAAAATCATATGTATTCTGCAGTTGTTAAGTGGAATATTCTATAGAAATTGGCTTAGCCTGTTTGATCTGTGGTGTAATTTAACTCCAATTTTTATTGATTTGTTTGTTTGTTTAGATGACCTGTAGAGTGGGGAGTGAAGCGCTGTTAGTACTTTGGGGCTGTGTCTTTGTGTCGCGCGGTGCTCGTTTTATGGAGTTGGGCTCTGATGCCCAACGCCTGGTTACAGCCGTTACGTCTCCGTGGATTGTGCCTCTAGCCAGCATGTAGTGACCTGCTAGTCGCTTCTAGTTTGGGCTTGATAGCAGTGACCTTTGCCAGCTGCGCACATGCCTACGCCCGCTTGCTTTGGGGTTAATTTGTGTGTCTTTTAACTTTCAGTCCATTTATGTCTTTGCTGGCTACATGTAAATAATTCTGAACACAGAAAGTTAATGTTATTTCACTGCAAGCAGGTTGCTTCTCTTTGTACCTGGCTGCCTTTTATAGTTGATGTCTGGGAAGCTTTGCTGGTGCTTGGTTTTTTATTCATTCATCGAGTACTTATTGATTGCTCATGGTACAATAAGCAGTCCAAGGGGCATGTTATGTAAACAAGTCAGCTGGTCCCAGTCCATAACAAATTGAGGTTACCCTGAATGTCCTATAATCTTGTCCCTACATTATTTCATTTTTACCTAAATTTCCTGTATAGCTAGATACTAGGTAGAAGCACTAGATAATAATCATTTGATAGTGCAACTGGAAAAAATAAAACTCCATAAATTGTTATTTTCAAATTCCTTGCTGCTTTTGGTCAGACATTATTTTACACAGCCGATGCTATTGTATCTAACTCTTTTCAGGTTTTGTGTCTTCATCTTTATTGCTTTTCCTGTTTCTTCATCATTTTCATGGTTGCTATCCACAGTGATGAACTGACACGCCAGAGTGACCTTAAGCAGGTGACTTGAACGAAATAGGCAAGGACTGCATCTCTTGGTTGCTTGTGGGTTTAGTCTTGAATGCTTTTTCTGTTGCTGTAAATACAAAGGAAATACCCTGTTGTCCTTCTTTATCGTCTCTCCTTTCTCTTCCATAGGCCAGTGAGCGCTTTAGTCTTTATTCTGAAAGTATGTGCTTATTACTTGTTTTGCGATGGAGATCTTACTGTGTGCTCCAGGTTGGTGTCAGACACCTAGCAGATCAAGTGACCCTTCCACCTCAGCCTCTTCAGTGGCTGAGACCCCACTGTGCACTGCCTTGCCGGCTTAGTTTTTAATGTTTTAAAGTGCCTAGAGCTAGGCGAGGAACATAGGTCTTGGAATTGCATTAGAAGTCAGTGCACAGCGGGGGAGATAGCTCGTTGGAATAAGTGCTTGCCTGGAAAGCGCAAGGTCCTGAGTTCAGTACCTGGTATGCCACAAAAGAAAAAGAGTAGATCAATGAATGGTAGATTTAGGGGCTGGGGAGAAGGCTCGGTAGAATAAGCATTTGCCTGACAAGCACAAGGGCCTGCGTTCAATCCCTGGTTCCACGAAAAAAAAAAAAAGTCAGTGCACATTAGCCGTTTTTTGTCCTAACACTGAACGCAAACCTGTTGCAGCAAGGTTTGGACCTCCTCTCACACTGTGTCCCCCGCCCCACTCCACAGGGTCTACTCAGGCTTTGCCCTTTGCACCTTATGCTGAATCAGTTGCTCGTTTTCCTCAGCAGTCCTATGAAGAGGACCATTATCAGCAGGTTTTGAGAGTTTCCAGGTTGTTTCCCAGGTTAAAGACAAATACAGTAATTTATTTATTTTTTTCTCCATGGAAACAAAACCAGTTTGTCTCAGCGGAGTGTCCCTCTCCGAGCAAACTTTCCCCCTTGGGACCTTCCTCTACCTCTACAGTTGAATTTCCACCCCTTGTTTGTGAAACTGTTTTAGTAACAGGTACCTTCCCTGAACCTTCAGACCTCCTGCTTGCCTCTCCCACACAGGTGTTTATTTTTGTTGTTTGATCTTTTGCCAGCATGACTAGAATCTACATGTTCATTTTTGACCCAGTCCTATTTTCCACAGACCTAAACTTTTTGAGAAGTAGTTCATAATCCTTTCTTCTGAAAATGTGTTGCACTGTGTCATCTTCTAAACCATCAATATTTTTATTCTCCATTTCAGCAGCTCAGACAGGCCAGTATATCAGAGGTGCTTGGCAAGAGAATGAAGGAATGGTTTCCCTCGGTGCCGTTACCACTTTGTCCACATTTTATATATCGCTGAAGCTGATGCTTCATTGCAGTGTTCCTGTTAGCTACCATAGCCGGATCTTAACTGTCCTTGCTTTGACTATTACCCTCCTTTTTTGCAGGCTGCTTCCAAACTTTCCTGCCCTGCATAGCAAAGAACTACATCAGAGATTACACTGAAATGCTTAA